GTTACGTGCAAATCTTCTTCTGTGACTCAGTGGCTAATCACTAATGAGAAATTCCATAAAAGTAAAACATGCGGATCTCACGAATTATACAGATACGAAACGAGTCAGCAATTGCGTCATCACTACTATTCAACGAAATGAATTTTTTTTTGAGCCAACGGTAAAAAATCCCGACTTTTCTCGAAGAATTAGCCGCATAAGATCCATCTTTTTGGCGGTACTCTGGTCGTAAAATCATCTTATCGCAAAGTTCATAATGTCTTTGGTAGCATTCGTATGAGTCAATCATTGTGAAAAGTTCATCTGACATCACTTATTGGTTGAGATATGGGCGTCAGATGAGTCATGATTTATTGCTGAGAATGTTCTGTGTGTAATTACGAATAGAATGTGCCATGTTCTACATTGGGGAGATGTTCCTCTTGCATATAAAAGTGATAAATTTTCTCTTAGTCTTTGCATTTTTGCAAGGGGGCATGACTCCATGGTGAACATTCTTAAGCCCATTCTATATTTAGCATATTTTTGCAAGCATTCTCTTCTAGCGATGTTTTCCCTAGCCTCGTCTGAATGTGCATGTTGTTTACTGCTATGTCCAAGCTGCAACTCATCCAGCCCCTCCCCCCCCCTCTCGAGGCTCTAAATGTTTTCCTGCCATAGCCGACATCGAATTTCAAACAGAACACACTCACACACACAAACACTCACTGCCATGAACAACACAACAATTTATTGTGATGAAAAATTCGCTTACTTCGAGCGCGGTTTTTGTTCGCCAGTAGCAATTTCGTCGCCTAGTCGTTGTTGTTGACATCGTGTTGATTCTGCGGATTACGGTAAATGAAAGTTATTCGAAATAATTGTATCTATACATAGTTCCTAGGGAAAGAGTGTCGGCTAACAATTCTTTGAAATAACCGTGGGAGAGTTGACAAACCGCAGTGGCTAGTGAAGCTCAAACATCAATCCATGGTAAATATAGTCGAGTCATTTTGTAACTTGATATGGGAACTATATAGGAGTTCGCAGACCATGCTCGGAACCTCACGCCTCCACAATTTTGATATGTTAGTACCACCGCTTAAATGGGGAAAATCTATAAAAGATGTTTGCTAGTTTCTTGAACCTATGTATCTACGCTCGAAACCGTGCTAAAGACTTAAAATTATTAGAATATTTTGATTCACAAAAACTATGTCGTGAGATGTGGCGCTTAGTGTGCAGTGCACACACCAACCTATAAACGGCTCAAATCAACTATGTCCTATGGGTCTCCCCCCTCCTTCAAAATGACTTTTGAATTTTTTAGTGCGGCTCCTTGCGATAATTTCTGCTTGTAAATCATCAATCAAATTCTAAAATTTCTAAGAAATGAATAATGGAAGCTACGCCCCTTCACTTGGAGATGCCGCTCACGCGCCCTTTCGAAAAAAAATTTTTTTATGAAAGCCCAGGGTCTACTGGTTTGTTTGCTCTGTACCTTCTCCTACCCTTCTCTTCCATTGCTCTGAAACTTTCGAGATTTTATTTCCTTTCCTATCTCATTTTGATATCTGCAAAAAAGAAAATTTACTGAAAAAAAAGACAGATGTGATAGAGGCTTTTTCAGATATGAATACGACGATTAGCTCCGCTTCCAACCACTCCCCTTTTTGTTCCCTTGTTCAAAAATCTTTTACTGCGCCCATCTTTAGGACATTGAGAAGTTACTGAATAACTACCTATATTGCACCTATTCGGCTACATTATATCAGTCTCCCGAGAAGTAACATTAATATGTTTTCCATTTATTTACACTACTAACTGTAAATAGTCTATGTGCAAATATAGACGAGTAGATCATCATGTGTGTAATGCACATCACAAACCAAAATTCAGAAAAATAGACATTGACATTTGCTTCAAAAAAGCAGCAGCTAACGCCCTATCACACTGCGTGATCAATCAAAATGTCTACGTTTGCTTCCCTTGGTCTCTGATGTTCGTTGTGCAGTTGCGCCCGCTGCATGCTAAAATTAGCAAAATTACGAAAATAATTTACGTAGAGCAGAAATCTGATGCTAAGTCATTTTAGTTTATCGCTATGTTGCCTTGAAAGACGTCTTTGGGTAATTAATGTTACCGTAATCTCACGGAAGTTGCATGATTATCAAATGCCAATTTTGCAGTGGGGTAAAATTTCGCAATTTTGCTAACCTAACCCCCTCCCCCCCCCGGCATAATAACAAAGCAGTCGGAGCTTTCGTTAGTATGTGTGATAATTCCTCTTCTTTCTTCATCCTACTCTCCCCCCCCCCCCTCCCCCAATCCATCTCCTCAATCTCGCCTCGATTTTCATACTTCTGATCTTTTCGTCATTATATCTGCAGGGGCAATCAGTGAGTTCCAACGTCAAGGTTTTGCCTGATTTTTGCAAGGTTTCTGAAAATGCTCATCTCTATCTATCACTTGTATCATATGTTGTTTGAAGTACAAAAGTTTGATGGGAAAACACCATATATGCTTTGCGCACGTCCTTCAAAGATTGACCCAGTCGTCGCAAAACCTGATCGCTATCGACACAAAAGTGTTTGTGCGAGTGTGTGTGTCAAAAACTGGTTATTGCATTTTTGCACGTAAATGATGTCATTTCGTTAATCAGCACATTTTTTTATAAGAATGAATAGACATATAAGAAACTATTACTCACTTTTTACTATAGTCTTATCTGTCAATGCAAACTCGCTGGTATGACAGAACAATTAGTGTCAATGAGCCGTAAAAATTTCGTACACATTACAAAATAAAAAAAAACATTGGTCGTTTCCATTTCACACAAGGCCCGAAGGCACACCTAGAAAAGAATTCGCCTTTGCCACTTTTGATTTTTACAATCTCCCACTTGATCGCTCCAGCTGCATGGGTAGTTCAATTGGAGCGCGCTTTTATTCTCAAGTGGACCATAATAGCTATTCCGGGTCCTAGCAAAGAGGAGAGGAGGGGTTTTCGAACCAAAACATTACTATATAGTAAGCACTGGTGCGAAACAGATTTATGTAGAAATTATCAAAAAATCATGTCAGTTGAAAGTTTTGCCACCCTCAGGTTCAGGCTAGGCTTAGGAAATTAGGGCAGCAGCCCGCTCTTTTGTGAAAAAGTTGGTTACGCTCTTCAATCATAAGCTTTTCATAAAACTTCGAAACTTGTGGATCATAAAAATTTGCACAAAAAAGCTTGCCACAGCATTCACTCATGTTTACAGTTTCCGTGCTGTGCTATTTATAATAGTATAGAATCATATGCTTCTGCTCGTTCCCGCCTGGGTTGTGCACTCTTTAGCGAACGTGCTCTCTAATCATTTTCGCACGCTCAATTAGCGATTGAAGCTTCTTCCTAAGCTCGTGATGGGAAAGTGATAAGAGAGCATGTTCGCGAAAGAGGTGCGGAGTTTACGCGAGGCGGCTGCGCGGGAGCGGAAATGCTGGTGTACCCGACGCAAATGATAATTCCTGTACACGCCTTCGGAACTCATTGGCAAGGATGAAGCTATGAACAAATCTTGGACAGAATGTGTCTAGCTTGTGAATGGTAGGAAGTGCTAAAAAAGTCCGTTTCTAAAAAAAATTGTTGAAAAAAGAAAACTTTCACCTTGTCAGATCTCGGTGATTCATAGCATACACACAATGATGAGAGTGAGGTGATCAAACTTCTTCCGTTGAGATAGTAGATCTCTGTGACTATGCAGCTTACAGCTGACTCACCGACTGGACAGCAAACGATTAATGGTGATGGAGAGTAATTCCTAAAAAGTGACATTTTAGTTAAGACAGCTTAGTACGTCATCGACTTCTTTACGGAAAGGGTTTTAGCTGCCTTGTTCGGGGAAAGAACGCACCATCTTGGGCTGCCTTTGATCGACATGCTGCAGTTCGCAAAAGTATCATTTGCCATGGAAACCCATAATGGCGGAGTTCGTTTCCCCTACCTTCTTGTTCCATAATTTTAGCGTAAAAGAAGTTTTTTGTACCCAGAGCACGCATTTTAGTATGCTGAACGTGACTGCTTTCAATGCAAACGCGCCAAAAGCGTGCGCATGTGCCCCTAGCAAAATTTGAAATTGCAGAGAGATTAACCGCTTTGTGAGGAGACGCGCAGTGATGTGCGCGAGGCTGGGGTCTAGAGCAAACAGGGTGCGGCTTGTGTACTACATATACTGTTATGTGCAATTAGATCATAGTACAGGTTACAGGTTCCATTAGAAAAAAGTCGTCATTTATATGTTTCTGAACCGTAGTTTTGAGTAAAATGTACCCTTTGATTCAACCGGATTGGCGGTTGAAAGGCGGGCTTCGTGACCTAATTAAGGCTAGAGAATGATGAAGAGCACTTCGCGAAAGAGACGCAGACTGGGTCGCTGGCGCGAGCAGTGGCCATCCAGCCGCCAATCCCGTGAATCAAAGGGTATGTTTCCTGCCCTCAATTCAATGTGTTTGAACAGCAAGTAACGAAGAGTATAGCATTCGAAAGCGCTTGGTACAAGAATATAGCTCTAAATAATGTGGCTCTGAACTAATCATCAAAACATAGCTGATAGAGTTCATGTCTATCCAAAAAATTTCTTAGTTTCGGAAATTTTTTGTCTAATGATAGTTGCTTATCATCAAAAAACTTCACCTCAAAATTAGCACAGATCCTTTGGAGTTACCCCTAATCTAGTGAAGATATTAAGTTGTAAAGTTGATGGTACATAGTTTACAAGTAGTACTTGTTCATAGTCTTACTTCCTCTCCTACAGATGCCATATTATTTCTAGCAAGGTTTTTCAGTAAATTGTCACTTGCTTTGCTATTCGCTTTCATATATTCCATGTTTACACCCGCATCAACATACTAAAGCATCAAAAACCATCGTGTACATTATGTTTTCAGTCGTATACGACCTTTCGGTATTTCACCTTCACTTGCGCACTGAGCGTATTTGAGTAAACATGAATATATGAATTTCAGAGTAGCTTTTTCTGTATGAATAACCTCGCCTACAAAGTTGAAATGATCGGGCAACATAGTATGTTAGTACTGAATTGAGCATCGATCATATTTCATCAGTTGCTCGTTGCTCCACACACCATAGAATGATTTTGCTCGGAATATACTGCACTTTTCCGTTGTTCCCTTTTTAGCTATATCGAGGAGATAGTAACAATTGGAAGCAAATTGAAGCTTTATAAGCGCGCATTTTCTTACATTGCTGGCATTTTGCTGCGAACTGACCCATTTACGTCCTGAAACTCCATAACCTGTTGTTCATGATTCAGTATTAGATTGGTGCAAAAATAACGCCTATTCTGGTTCAGTCCAAAATGCCACTTCCACAGCTAGTATTAACAAGAGTTAAAAGCCAAGATACAGCAGATATCGGGCTTACCTCATCATTTAAACTGCGCAGTTGATGGTTGAGTTTTTGTCAAAAAACCACCAAATTTTTCGCAAGCTCCAATTTGGCGCATATTTTTTTTCAACAATAGCACATTTGTTTCCCTTCTCTATTTAGCCAATATCTAAGGCGATTCGCGCAGTAGGATTCCGAAAAAAATGCGACTGAATCAGAGATATATTGCTACGGTAGCTCTTCAAACGCACTGAAATCGCCTTGATTTTCAATTCTGCCCTGTAAAGCTTGGAACCACCTTTCGATATATTACTTTGATGCAGCCAACTTCAAAGCTTCATTTGCAAAGTGCAAACCGGAATTGCTAAATTTGAACTCTGTAGATCTCTAATTGACACAGCTTTAATCTGCCTTCAGGTGCTTACGTACTATATTGTTTGCAGATGTCATTACACGGTCGTGTGGATATTCATCAATTTACAACTCCTACGTAGCTCAGTTTGCACAAATCTAATTGAGGTAATGTGTTGCACTTTCCTTTTTGCTCACAGTAGATGTTGAAATAATGGTCACATGAACAGTGCGAGTTGTTAGCTTTTGAAACAGTCAAATAGTGTACAAAAGTCCTTCCAACTCCATGAGGAATTTGGAGTCAACCCGTTTTTGCGGATGGCCTCGCAAGATTCGTTCAAATTAGAAACCCGTGTTCCTAAAATCTCACTAGTTTTAGTGCTCTCTTCTGCAAGTGTCACATGAAGTTTTGTATCTCTGCTCCACTGCTGTGGACCAAAACTTTGGTTCCATTGTGGAGCCGTGCACTGGTGGTATTTGTGGTTCTCGGAAGAGATTGTTTCGGTATGTGCTATTTTATCCAATCTTTGTGATAGACCTCCTGCGTAAAAGCTTCTAACACATCACAATTTGGCAAATGAGTAGTTGGCCCACTACGGAATATGCTCATTTCACCATATTTTGGATCAAATGGGTTCCTTTTTGTAAGACTACTTTCAAGCAGAAACTTTTTATGTCCATTTTGGGCACCATTCTCAAAGCTATTCTGGAGGATGCGTAATTAAATGTGAATGTCGATATTCAGAAGTTGTAGAAAGGTAACATTTGGATCGGAGAGGTAGCTCAGCTTTTTTGACTTCTCATATAATCCATTCAGGAAAAAAGTCATATACGATGAGACTATCTTGAAACTACACCTTTTCTTTGTTCAACAATATCGGAGAATTTTTACGCAAGTTTTCGTACCTTCCCACTGAATTAATTATACAGCCGTCATCACTTCCTACACAGGTTCCATCATATAAAGCTTTCCTCCTTTTTTTCCTCATTACAGGCTCTTATAGATTCCCATCTTTCGGTGTGTTAAGACTGAAATCTAGTTCTTACCCGAGTCAATTCTCATGATACATAGTGGCTCCGAGATAGGTAATTTGCGCACCCCTTTGCCCTTATATTCTTTGAATCCAAAACTTGACAGATCCATCCAATGGAACCTCGACCTTTCCAGATTTGCATGAACGTCCGGTCACGATTTTAAACAATGAGATATCTCTGACCCTCTGAATAAAACGAATGATCCATTCAAATAAGACTCCTACTCGAAAACGTTTGAGAGCGCCCATATCCAAGTTTAGTCCTAGAGTTTCCAGCTTTCTCCAACTTCTCGTTAAACTTTTTATAGTGGCGGCAGGCTAGTCTGAGAACAAAAATGGCAGTAACGTCCACCTGTACGGACCTTCGATGGTGAATAGGAAATTGCTAGGGAGCAAAACCTCTATCGAAAGTTCTTGTTACCCCTGCTCGAACTCGCAGTGGTACTTATACTAAGCTTTCTTCCCGTTTTCCATCAACGTGCTGAACAGTACCTTTACAGTTTGCGCATCATCTTAGAAGACGGTATGGCACATCAGAATTTCTGACCATAGCCTCACAGCCCAGACTTCCCATGATATCAAGGAACATTGTAGAAAAAAATCAGATGAAAAAGGATAATTCTGCGACAGATATCTAACAAGAGCAGTTTCGGTAAGACGCTATTTACTAGGGCTGAATGGTTCTCACATCGGCCACCTTGTTTGCTGATCTAACACATATTTCTAATGTTTTACATTTGGTCGTTACATAAAAATAGAATCTAAACCGTGGATTCAGCTGAGACTTGAGCGAATTATCTAAGAAATGTTTTAATTACTTACCTTTAGACCCAAATCCAGCTACGATTTGAGCCGATCTTGTCGGTGCGCGGAGGAGATCTAAAATTGTTAATTGCTCCAGACTACTTTTTCTAACTGGTGTAACCATATAGTTTCATTCCAAAACTAAACGGCTGGAAGGTGCCTATTGTCGCAGACTTCTTCCTTTCCCTCAACGCCATTGCCAATGCGATTAACATATGCGTGCGCATATATCCTGAAGTCTCTGAATAATCAAGCACGAACCGCATTCAAAACTAAGAGCGCAAACCTCTGCAATAAACACGGCATCAAACTTCTAGAGATGTATGGTCGTGCGAAATCTTACATGTTGTTTTCAGCGCTATTCTGCTAATATGTAAGCATTCTGTTTACCAGTGCTGCAACGGCTTCTTGAATCAGATATTCACTGCGTTTGCATTAATTGTTTTTCTCCATATAATATGTGATGTCTGTGTTTGTATTTCAGAATGATGTTATGTCACCACGCTGCAACTAGCTATTGCAGAATATCAAAATTTGCGAGCTGTTTACGCGTTGCTTCTCACGTCAACTTTCCATTTCTAATTTGCAGCCAAGGGAGTTGTGAAATGTTTTACTATGTCGAATACGTCAATCATGCAAGGCAACAGATGAAAGATAGAATTAGATCAATGAAAAAATAGAGACAAACGCGGCAGGGTCACATGCGGCAGCAGTGCCGAAACGGCTAGGTCCCAGAACGAAATGCTCTTGCACGTGATGTTACTACGTGACCGACCTCAATACGTGGGAACCCACGAGTAGAAGATACACGAAACCGTAGATTTTTACACAAAAGATGCGTAGATTTTTCTTTTACTTGAGAACAAAAAATACCTCGTTACTTTACAGTACCTACACTTCCTAATTTCTAGATAATCCATATCTTTTCAGCGTAAATTAGCAAGGATAGAACTTGCACGTTGTCAAATACATCATCACTTTGATTGCGACAGAAAAACTAATTTGCATCATTTATCTGGCCCCAAATTGGCTTTTTGAATAAGTGTCACCACTGCATTGGCTGCACCACTCTTAGGTACGGTATAGTACATACATCAGAAACGTCTACAGTAATCACCTTTTCTCTGAAACATCCATCACATAATGAGCGATAAGTTGCAACTTATTTAAGTGAACTGGCCTTACATAAGGCTGCTTGGTGTTTGACTGAATGTCTGACATTAGAACAGACACTCAATTTCTCTTGACTGAAGCGACCGATTTGCTTCCTTTGTGGAGCTGAATTTGTGTTTGCATCTTACAGTGGCTCGCGATTTGCAATACTGGCTGACTGATGGTCTTCGCATCTATCCTTGCTGAGATTGTTTATCAGCACCTCATGTGCAAAATGAAGCTGAATTTTGCAACCATATTATAAATATGACTTAGTCACAACAATCGTAGTCGAGGCAGCCATTTAGCAATAGCACGCAGCAGTAAACAAAATGTTTTGCTCGAAACAAAACACAAAGCCACGCATGGGAAGCTCCATCATACATAACATTAGTCGGGCTTTCGTGACTCTATAGTCGACGCATTTCTGGAGCTCAAACTAGTGTTTTGTGTGCTGTACTGTAAATGATATGTTAGTACACTAACATATTACAGTAATCCATCCGTATGTTTGTCCTCACTATAAATAAGAATTACATGATATCTCTGAATATGATGGGATGTCTCTTTTGCACATCATACATCCTTCATCTCTTGCGTTTTCTCCACCTACTCTTTTCTCATAGATGGAAACCTTCTTTGTGTTCATAAGATGCACCCATTATGAATAATGCGAGAAGGGGAGTTGAAGTATTCGGTTGCAGAGGAGGTTTTGCAAGTTTATTTAACAGCTTTCTCATCAATGGTTACATTTTGAGAAATAGTTTCATGCACTGTAGAGCTGCCGAAGTCGAAGGCAGCTTTTCGCCTTTAGAAGTATGTGAGAGATACCTTACCTAACTCGCACCTTTGATGATTTGTTCGAGCATTAGCCAAGATTGGCATCCAGCTTTGTTTTCTCAAGCTAAAGTTTCGGCTACACTTCTTCTTCAGAGCCAGAGAATAGCAAGGATCTCTTCAGCACTTCGTCACTCCAAAAGGTACTATTCAACACTTGTAATTTTCGAGGTAAGAGCGAAATCATCTATGTGCTAGCGCTTACCTCAATAGGCCAACGAGCAGACCCTTACGTATAGGGATAGTGCGTCACTGCGCATTAGTATATCCCATATATAAAACAGCTGCCTTTTTCTATGGCAAACTTCCACTAACAAGTGGACCCTTCACTCTAGAGGGGAATCAAGCGGGGCTCACTTTGCACCAAAATGATATCAAATGAACTTGTCACTAAAAGAACCTTTGGCTAACGTCCGTGCTCTTTTTCGAATTCTAGGTATGCACCATATTCAGATCACCCAAAAGATCTTGAGCGCAGTTTTCTGAAAATTAGTCGAACAAGCTCTATTTCGCCGACTTCGCAGTATGGATATAAGAAATGTCCAGTCTTCATGATCTAGCGGAATACTCTGCGAAAGCGAAAGGCCGGTCACAACATGGGAAGAACAGTCGGATGGACAATAAGAACATCCTCGCGTAGCAAAACGTCTCCAAGGAAGACTACCGACGAGATGGATAGATGTGTTCGTGGAACGGGTGGACCAGCTAAGAAAGTTGGATAAGCATCCTGCCCGTGGAAATTGCGGACGCAGTCACTGACGACCGCAAGAAAATCGTGGATGTCAGAAGCGAGACCCAGGAAGTTATGGCAACTTCTGTGCTGTGGTCTGCACATAACGTGAAGACAGAACATCTGAGCATCTGAATTTGTATGTATCATATTTAGATAGCACAGCTGCAGATTGAATTACTGTATTCGAAGGATTAGATGATGTGCCGCTGAAAAATAGAGGACTTTGGGGCCCCAATTCGCTAACGGCAATTTAGTTTCAAAGAAGCGGCACCTTGGTGACTTCATACAACCACTGCTTTTCGTTGTCATCTCAGCGCGCTTCAATATTGAGTAGATCCGTTCCAAGTCGACATTACCAACAGGTGTTGAATCGTGCCATAATGAGATAGATTTGACTTGGATATATGTTTTAGAGATACTCCTGTTATCAGTTGCCGGTGAAGTTTTTGAAAAGATTTTGGTAGCATGGAGTGGAAACGAGGAAAGATTCAAGGTGTTTCGCACTTTCTCCATCATAGAATTCAGTTTGATCAAGTCCTTTTGCGCCGGTTTTCTGACTGCTCATTCTGTAAGATACATAAGTATTAGTTTTTTTTTGTTATCCCATGCATAACGCCTTTAGCGTCATCTTATTACGTCCAATATCGTAAGCCATATGTCTTTTTAACAACTATAGACCTAAAAAATCATTGCGCATTTTCTGCTTGAATGAGCCGAGCTGTTGCGCAGTTGAGGACGAAATTCTCACCTCTATATTCGATATACAATCCAAAAATTCGATGAAGTTTGCTTTTAGGTTCCTATATATTTTTCAATCTTCACCCTTCTCAGCATCTTAAGCGTATACCTTTAACCTTCCACCTAGTTTTGTTGAAGCACTGCCTCTACTGCTATGATGTAGAAGAATGTATCTCAGAGATCAAATTGGCTATATAATTTGTTTTTGCAGTTTTGCGAGTTGTTTTCTGCGCTGTAGACGATGCAAAAGGAGCTTTCATCACAATCGCTAGTGAAATGTCAGAGAATTCATGCGTGAAAGCTACAAGTACATAATTTTAAATAACAAAGCTTTACGTAAGCTGAGAATATGGCCACGGAAGTTCAGACGTCGGAAAACAAATGGACGTTAATTTTCCGATCCTTTTTCGGCCAAAAATACCACGGCACTTGAGAATCGTGCTGCTAGGTGAAGATCCTTGGGACCTCATGGATAAACCAATGCTGTGTAGAGATCGTGACTTGTTTCTGAAAGTTCCTTCTGTTTTCCCAAAAGTAGAATTCTGCTAACTTCTACCGTATAGCACATTACCACACCTAAAACTTTCAATAATTTTTCACCCCTTCTCCTGCAAAATCTGCTCTTCTCCTTATGTTTACACCATACGTGCTTTATGCTTCCAATCATGTGTTTTTCTTCCAAAAAGAGACATTTTGCTCCACAGTAATCGTACAAATATTGAACGCAGCTCATAAAGATGTCAGCTTGACGTTTTTTTACAGCCAATCATGTGATAAGTGTTACGGTAATTCTGATAGGTGGTGTGTTTTCTAGCTGTCAAGAAGCACTAGATGACAGTACTTCGTCCTTATCAGGAGTGTTTATTGTTTAAAGCAAATCGGTGTACTGATCATTTGTGATGTATGTTGTGTCTTTCAGCATATTCGCCTATTTCGACATTCTTGGGCAATCGGGGGCAATTTTTGGGGCACTTTGAGCAGATAGGAATTCATGAGCACGAGAGCAGCTACATTTTGTTCCCAGTCTCCATAAATGGCTTTCATGATCTTCTTTCTGTCTTAAATATCTGATAAACCAAAAAAACCAACAAAGCCATGCGTCCTTATCAATTTCTACCACTTATCTTTGTCTATTCTTCCTCTATCGCCCGTTACTCGCAAATGCCCTCTTCACTTAAGCTCCTTCTGCGACTAATTTGTCTTTGCTTCCAGAAAACGGCTACAGTAACCATGACTCCTCATGATCAACTACTTCCTCCGATCATTACTCTGGACGCATCGTCCCCGGAAAGAGGCACTTCTCCCACGTCACCGATGCCAACACCAACCAGAACTCGCGTGCTCTACTGCAGAAAATGCGAAGGACACGGCGAAAAAGTGATTCTGAAAAATCATGCTCCAAGCTGTCCATACATACTCTGCACATGCAAATCGGTGAGTAATCAAACTGTAAAATTTTCGTGGAGTTGTAAAAATGGGCTCTGAAGTCGGCGTTTTCCTGAAGTTTGAAAAAGAAAGGTTTTTTGGTTGACAAGGAACTTAAGCCCGTAGCTTAGGACAGCAAAATTTTTCTTGGGGTCTGAGAGCTTAGGTAATGAGATGGAACTTTGGTCCTCAGCAACTCTTGACCTCTTTGACGCAAGGATTATCTTCAAAAAATAATCAAAGAATTAGCTGTAAGCTTATAAGATTAGGAAATAACTCTTCTGTGTCGTTCCCATCAACTGCAGAACCATTAAATTTCACAACATTTTCCTTTCTGATTACTGGTATCCACTCGAATTCCTTTTGGCGCTCGCAAACTTGCATTTCCAAAAAAAAAACAAAACTATCGATTACTATAATCTGATACAATTCAAGAATCAACTCGCTTCGAGTCACTTTTTAATCAAAAAATGATTTTCTGAGTATAATATGCTAATTGTACTATTAAGAGAGGCGATTTTACAAAGTCAGATTAGCTACGAAAATCCACTAGATCTTCCTCCTATCCTCTCACCTACAGTACCTCGGTAAATACTAGGTAAACATTAGTTACATTTAGAGTAATGCGTCCTTTAATAATTTTCCAATGCTCATTTGCTCCACAATGTTCTAAAAGCTGAGCTACATCGATTTGCAAAACGGTCTAGTGCAAAAATTTCTGCATGCAGTAATCTTAATCAGTCTTATTTTCCATAATCACTCTTACAAGAATATATCAGTAACTGGACATCTACATCAAAAAGCAAGCTATTTGTTCGCCTACTGATAAGCCAAGGAAGACTTGCAGTATAACAAGGCATCACAGCTCCCTACAGCAAGCTGTATGAGAATCAGGAATACTAAAAAAAGGAAGTATACTATTCACAATGTAAGTTTACGGTATGCAGCTTAAGGCTTCAGGCATACCAATCCACGTAGAGGAAATAATGGATCGCCTATAGGGCTGCTTAAATCTCCACGTGTCAATCCTCACTTCGCCATATGGGACGTTTATCAAGGGTATTTCGTGACCTTTTGGAGCAGAGGGTGTTATCCAACACGCTTTTCAAAGCTAATATATATTGTACGCAACTTTTCTAGCTGCAGAACGAATTTGAGTGGAAGTTATGGGAATTTTTGCCATCAAAATTTTGCTTAATTCAAAGTAAACAAAATGGAAATTCTTCGAATTTGCGCTGTACAATGCAGAATGAGATAATTTAGGAGCATAATCACGCCAAGCATGGGGCTTTTTCTTGGCTACTTTCGAGACCAAAATGACGTGGTGTTTCTGACTTCTTTTGGCCTTCGAATTTTCTGTGATTAAAAACGCAGAACTCACTTAGGTTTGCAGCTGTTTGCATTTTTGATAGCAACGTTCCACGTCAGAGGCATAAATTATTTTGAGAATATTTGGATTTAATAGATTTTAAGAATAGATACTTGTAGAAATTTGAGGTAAGTAATTACGTTGAAGTTGTTATTGTAATGAAAGTTGTTTAGAAGAGGATTTACTTTAGTTGAACCGCTAAGATTAGTGGAGCTAAACATCTCTGCATCTCTTTATCTAAGGTAGTTTTACTTCCGTATATCTAAGAGAAAGGGGACGGTAAGCCCCCACCCCTCCCCACCAATGATTTACAAAAATTTACAAAAATTTCACATGGTTTGTGAAATTTCAATTTCAACCATGACGGGCATTTTCACCCCTGGAATCCAAATTCCATACATCCATCGCATGGAAGCAGTGCATCAAATGGTTTTGCCTTATTCCATCCTGAACCCCAACCGCTTACAGGCAGTTTAAAAAAATAGAAAAGTCGTAGACTCCGAAAACCAGCAAATCCAAATGCTTTTTATCTTCTCCGTTTTCGAAACGAAAAATTGAGCCAATTGAGCACTTGCCATTGTGACCCCAGAAATGAGAGCTGGTGCATTGAAATTTGTATTTTCAGCTCACTGGTTTGAGCAGATAAGTACTTATATTAAAACGTTTGTATAGCGCAAATAATGCACTTGTAGATTATATGAGAACAACTACAATTTAAGTAAAGCAATGAAAACCCGCAGGTGTTTTGTACCTACGCAATTGCACGTTTCTTGATCGTTAGTTTCAGGACCAAAAAGATCAGTACATAATAATAAAAATAGTGGTAAATTCTCTGAGTTACTTTGGGTGCATCGGGAAAAAAGATAAAAAATGAACAAACACAAAAACATAGCATTAGCTCATTCTGGGCTTTTTGTTTATTTTTGTTCAGTGAATTGTCAATGGCTTTGCAACTGTACTCCGAACTCCCGAAAAGTATACCTTAGGAAGTACTTACTTGGGGCAAAAATGGAGATTGTAGGAGCCTAAGCTTGAACGAAAGTTCTGAGGAAAGCTTTTCCGTGATTTCAACCTTGTTAAAAAAGTTTTCGAGATAAAAGAAGAACAACGAAAAGCAAAAGCTCTACCTGCATAGAGAAAGCTTTCCAAATGTCAACTTCCCTCTTTTTTTGCGATGATGTTGAATCATAATTATACCCCCCCCCCTACATCATTAGTCGGAAGCAAAAGCTAGGACTGATTGGATATTGTATTGGCTAATAGGTCGAAAGTGACTTCCGCTAATTAAGTGTATTTTCTATTTTGGTCCCAACTCGAAAAAGATATTTATTGTGTTAATTTTTTCTGTCTGCATCAAAGTTCGCTTAGCTTTACACTTAATTTTTTTTCGCTTACTTTCTCCGATTAGTACCGTAGAGCGCTAATGCAACTAATTTTCACAGCCAGCCAGACTAAATGATAACCTCATCAGCTTGTTTGAACTTATCACTTAGTTTAGTGGGACTTTTTGTACCTCAGCCGATAAACTGATTAAATAATCATCCAATAACGTACAGTAAGTTAACTGCAACGTGCAGACACACAATTTGTACCGTAAACGGTGTGACGTCTTATAACCTATTTTTGTACAAGCCCCAGAGGCAAAGGGGGGGGGGGGAGAGGGTATGGATGCAAAAGTGTTGTCGGATCGCTTGCAAACCCCTCTACATGCACTATCATAGACTGGTCCAAAGTGCGTTGTGTAATTCTCCTGCTGTGCGTTCTAGTTTTCGTTCGCGGTACGTGAAATTTTTTTCTACAAGTGATCCCCTATCCATCTGGTTGGTCGTTGGTTCGTTTGTTTTTCGAGTGATCTAGGCGCAGACATCGCCAATTCTCAAATTTTTGCTTATGTAGATCAAATTACCAAATTTCAAACAGTTAGACATGGGAGATTATTGTGAAAGCTAACCCTGGAAGTTTTTTGAAGGAATTATAAGCTTTATGCAGTTTGTTCAGAACAGTAATAACCAGTCTATGGACTGCTTCTGTGATTTATTGACAAACTGCAAGTAAAAATTCAGTTTATAATTTAGCAGAAAGAACCCAGCCAAATTAAGGACTGGCAAGGACATGACGCTTTTGCACCACTAAGTGTGCTACAGTAATCCATATAGTGGGAGGGTGAGGCGGGGAGAGGGGGGGATTGTAATCCTGACCGGGCTAGTCTTATGCTATTTACAGTTAACTTCGTCAATTCAAAGTAGGAGCTAAGTATAACATTAATGAGAGGTGACGCGACCTTTGCACCTGTTACAGTATGTTACAGTAACCCATGTGACGAATGGCCGGTAACAGCCTGCTTGCTGGGCTGCGGGCTCGCATGCAATGGTTTAATCTCCTCAATTATTAAGGAGTTTAGATTATATATGACTAGATAAGCTTGTGAACAAGAGACGCGGCTCTTTTGCACCACTGCATTGTGCTACGGTATGACGTGCGCGGGCAGGGAGGGGGGGGGGACATGTAATGCATTTTTGCCGCGGTGCGAATGCACATCCAAAGTTTTATTTTACTCTCCCGGATGACTTGGGTACAAAGTACGTAGCTTACCTTGTTATTCTTACCTTTTGAGGGGTTAGGGTGATAGGTAAAGTGTGCAAAAGACACTATATGGCATTGTGAATGACTCATGATAAATTGCAGTCAGTGAATGAAGGGAAAGTCTGATCTACCACGCTTTTGTACTTTAGAAAAAAGTTTTTTGTCACACTATGTACTTTGTGAGATGTTTGATACCTAGAGGCGCGTGAAACTCCTATCGTCATTGGGTGGAGCGGAGAGGAGGGGCGGAGGAGGGTGAAGGGAAGGGGTCAAAAATCCTGTTCAAGTCAGATTAGTTGCACGGTGTCTAAAACTTGTCCTTTGTTTTGAGTTTTTGAGATAAAAATTGTTTTTGGCAGGCACAGTGGCTAACTGAAGAATGGAAAGAATTTTTAGAAAGTGGTTTATATGAGTCATAAAATTATGCGGATGACTTTTGTTCTAGATAATCAGAATAAGTTCAAAAATTTTGAATTCGAATGCGCTGGAAAACTTATCCAGGGCCCCATCCTCCTCAAGAAGGTTGCGAACTCTTTTATAGCCTACGTGAGATAAAACTGCGCGTCTTATCTCACCGTAAATAATTGGAGAGAATTTGTTGGAAACTTTCAACTCCAAAGTCCCTGTAAAAATTGCTTTTCAGGGCACGGCTGCCCTCGCGGGGTTATAGGCCCACTAAAACTTTTGAAAGAGTTTGAATATTTTCTGGGTTCTTTGACCCTCACTCCTTCCCTTGCCAAAAATAAATTCTCGAACCGCCATTGTCCTTAGCCTAGAACATCTGATAATTTTGCCTCTACACCCATTTGAAAATTCCAGAGCAGCAAGGTCGAGAGAAATTTGCATCATTTCAAAAAAAGTCTAAGGCCCGTATGCACGTACATCCCCGCGGGGAGGGGATGTGCGCTTAACCATTGAAATGATCCCCGCTGGGGATCCCCTCCCCTCCCCGCGCGAACCCCCGTATGCACAAAGACAATATCGGACAAGGGATCCCCTGTGGGGAGGGGAAGTGAACCCCCTTATGCACAAGAGGGGATCAAGCGGGGAAATCACCTTGCTTTCAAATTTTCTATGAAAAACACTTTCTTATTTCATATTTTGACTGCAACTCATCTTCATCTCCTCACTTTCATTAATTTAGGGTTGCGGAATGCGCGTATGCAGTGACTGGGCTCGGGGCACTAAAAAAGATTTTTTGTACTCCCATTATGTTCCTGCTTTCTTGGATGCTGCCCACTTTCGCTCATGCTGCTCCATTTCAGCGTAAAAATGTTGAACTATAGAAGTTGATGTGTCTCTGCAAGGGAATGGGTAGAAGACGTTATGCCGCCGAAAAGGGGAGGGGGGTGCCGCGCGGACGCTCAAAGCAGTATTCTAACACATAACAGAAGCTGCAAATTGTGCCAGCTCTCCATAAACGCTGTAGCTATCAGCTGCATATCGTCCTTTGTCCCAGGGGAATGATCCCCAGCAGCGATCCCTGCTATGCACAAGGGGAACGCTGGGGAGGGGATCACTCCCCAGGGGATTTCTACTCAGAAATAGGCAAATATGCTACTTTCTAGATTTTTTCGAGGCAGCTTATGTTAAAATAACAAGATAATGGCAAAATGTCATGAAATATGAAAGTTACAGTGTGTTTACTCAGCCTATATAGTTAAAACTATTATGTTATATGAAAAATGCGCAAATTTTCTGAATGATCAAGAACTCCTACAAATAATCGAAATTGGCTGCTATTATTGCTCGGATTCCTTCTCAAGAGGCGAATATAGAAAAGAAAGGCAAATTGCAAGCCACAGGTCGCTGAGAGAAGAACCCGGCTCTCAAAGAAAATCCTCCGTCAAAATGAACGAAATGCTTGGTAATGACTGAGCAGAACCAGAATATCGGCGTCTCTGGCATGATCTACACCATCGAACCCCTACTTCGTTGCAGGGGATGTCGATCTCCTCCCCCGCGTTATTGAGTTGAATTCGCGCATACGGGGTTCGAGTGGGGGAAGGGAAGGGATCCCCTCCCCCATTCGAACCCCGTATGCACTGGGGTTCGCTCGATCAATACCTCTGAAACCATTCACATCATCCCCGCTTAGGTGCAGGGGAGGGGATCGCTCCCCTCCCCTCTGTCATGGCGGGGTTCGGCGGAGGGGATCGTTCCCCTGGGGATCCAGCTCCCCTCCCCTCCCCAGCGGGGATGTACGTGCATACGGGCCTAAGTCTAAACCCCAATGCCCTTTATCTAGCAAGTTTTTCGTCCTTACCCTCCCCTTCCACCTCTGCAAAAAACTCCAGGGGCAGCCTGGCGAGCACTGTTGATACCCGTACGACTTCTCACTTTTCCCTCAACTTATGAGCTCTCCGTTTTTCTTTCTACCCCCCCCCCCCCTTCCCTTCCCCCACAACCTCCCTCCGAATGCCCCGCTTTGTGTCGTGCTGCACCATGCTCGCTTACATAGACTTTGCTGCTACCACGAATGCATGGAAAGTACATTGTGCGTGGTTGTGCTAGGCTGATCTGCTTGAACTTGCGCTTTTCTCGTGCTTTTTGCACTTGAGAGTTCGAGAGAAGTAGAGTTTCTAAAAATAGTGAAAATATTGCAAAATGTGGTGTGTTTCAAAGCTAAACACGTCTGCTCTTTGATTTGTGGTCTTCCAGTGTTTTTTTGCAATAAAAAAGTGCAAAGTTACTTGTAAGATGCCAATACACATTTAGAATGATTTCGTAAATTTTCTGAAAATTCAAATTGAGCTCTGAAAAAATTTGGGTGGAATTGCGAAGGTAAACGGTTCAGCAGAGCTATGTAGCTTCAAAGTCACTGTTATAAATCCCGGATAGTGGTTTCTGCTTTTCTGGGAAATAATTTGAAAACACTTCTTTGCTTCTATTAAGTAAGACTTTGCAAGTGGAGAAAGTTCATTTATGTCAGGACTAAAATGGAATAATTTTAATTTGTAATTCAAATGCCTAAAAAAGGTCAACTTTCTTTGGAAACTTCGAAACTTAATTGACTTCGTCATAAGACCCACTTCATGCTGAAAATGAAGATGTTTCCTTCTTCCTAAATTACGTTATCTTCATCTATCCTACTATTATCTTTCATAAATATTATATCTAATATAAATATATCTCTTGATATTTTAAAGAAAAGAAAGTCAGCGAAAATCTCTTGTCATCTATTCAAATCTTCGTCCCAAGATCTCAGAAGTTTTTTAAAAACCTCAAGTTCTTTTCTGGCTTTCATGGATTTCGCAAAATCACAGAGATAATTCCAATACGCTGTTCTTTTTGATAGAGCATCAAAGATAGCGATGACCTCCTAGAAAATAGAGGACAAAATATTTCCACATTCACCTGTGACTGATTGGGGAATTGTGGGAAGAGATTTTATCTCGATTTTTTCTCCTTATAGAAGTCGTTTCAGTGCGAAAAGCTGAACTATAAACGTCTGAAGTCCTTCAACAAGCGGAACAAGGAAAAATTGGAATTGGCGGCTGCACTAAACGCACAACGTCGAGCCGAAAGTCAGTCTGCAGAAGCCACTGAATCAGGTATTGTCCTTTTTTTTTAAATTTTCAAGGATTTTTGGGCTTCTACCTATCACGTCGACTATTGGCTCCCCCCCCCCCGCTTCCTCAAGCAAATCCCTCACATAGTCGTTCAGTTTCGTATATGCTGCACTTTGTGTTATTTTATCTGAGTCGAAAAAAATGCACGCACGCCGTCGGGACGGCGCTCGCTCAGGCTTCGATCTGGCCGTGTATCGAAAAAAATTCTCTCCACGTCTTTCACCGCTAGCACTGAGCGCATTTCTCCCCCTTTGCAGTAGTTTTTATGTTCGATGAAAAAATATATGGTTTTTGCGCGCGCCGGGGAAAGCGCAGCTATAGCGCCCAGCACCATACTCGCATGACGAACTTGGCAATTTTGCAACGTTCGCGAAGTGGTTTTTTTCATCTCGGGCGCACTCTTTTCGGTCCTAAAAAAGTATCGGCAACGTCCAATACTTTTTTCGGACATTCGCAAAGAATGTGTACGGATATAGTGAAGCTCATAAAGTACTCTTGGAAATCGGAAAAAATTATAGTTCTGCGTGAATTTGCAGCTGGTATGCTCAACGCACAGCACACTCAGCCGGCATCCCCTTGGACTCGTTCTCGTTCCAAAAACTTCAGCAAAAGTGCATAGTCTGACTGATCCGGATGCGAGCAGGCAGCCCTCAGCCGAATTTTGCAAAGCGTTCACTGCGAGCAATGTGTATACAGATCTCACCGACAAAAAAGTCGTTGACGTTCAGCTTCGATAGAGAAGGTGCAAAAATGAATAGAAAATGAAGCAGGAGGAGCAGGTTCGGGTTTCGTGTACCTAAGGATTGGAAAGGTGTTGCCGCGGGGGTGTAAGAAGGGATGCTTAATTCGATGTTTTTTTTAAAGAAACGAAAACAATTTTTTCGCGGTTATTTTTACATTTCCTAGAGATTCAAAAAAAAATTCGCTGGAATGTTGTTTTTTGTAAATTTTACTTTGAAACTGTAATCAATAGGGGTAAGCTAGGTTGGTAACAGCATTTTTGACATATCTAACTTCTACTTAAATTCTAGAAAAAAACCGAAATGAGCGAAAATAGATAAAGAAGGGAATGACTGTAAACTCAAACCAATGTTTACCATTTGAGTGCCGAGTGAATAGAACTTTTTTGCGATTTTTTGCGCAAATTGAAATATTTTTCTCATAATATAGAAAAAAATAATTTCCAGAACTGTCTACAGAGTTATAAAATTGGCAAGTGACTTGTTTCAACTTGCGAGTAACTAGAAATAATTTTTGAAAATTTGAAAAAAAATTCAAATTAGCCTGCAAAAAAATTTAGCGTGCCTGCCGCCACTTTTTTAAAATTTTCGGGTCCCGCTAATTCTCAGAACTTTTTCGAAAGGCTCGAGCCCCACATTTCTTCATTAAGGAAAATCCTCCCCCCCCCCCTGCTTTTCTCCCCGCGAACGAAAATCTTGGGACCGCCTCTGGGAGGAGGTGATTAATTCAATCCAGCGCTTCCAGCTTAAGTGCCGAGCAGAAAATTTTTTCCGACTCTTTTTGCGCTGCTTAGAATTGAATTTTCCTCAGTATATAAAAAAATTCCTCTTTTAAATAATTAAGACAGTGTGATGTTGATAATTAAGACAGTTAAATGTAGATATTACATGGAGATTGTACTTAATTTAGGAGAAGAGGGAGGGGAGAGAGCGATTTAGGAAAGAATGTTCCTTACAAAATGTTAGACTGTACCAGAACTCCTGTTCACAAAACATGCGTTACCTTTCCCATTTCTGAAAACACTTCCCCCTCCCCCCTCCCCCCAACCTTTCACCCCTTCCCATTTCATCATTTCCCCCAACACGAAACTCTGCGAAACATGAGCGACATGCCCTTTTGCGGTGTGTGCTGTGCTGGCTGTCCACGACGACGACGGCACAGACGGTTGTCAATATGTTTCTTGTGACAACCGAACGAGGAAACTCAGTCAGTCACGGGACCACTTTTTTCGAGAGCTTGTTGGCCACGCAAAACTTGTCCAAATGTGCGATTGCACTGGCTGTGTGGTTCTCGTGCAATAAAGTCGTCATCTATGCCCAAAATTTCTGGAAAGTGCAGAGTATAACTTATCTTTTGAGAAAAGGTGTTTGTCAAGTGCAAGTAAAAATGATAATCGGTGGAGAGTGCGTTTGGTAAATGGTCTGCGCCAAGAATTAGTCTTGTTAATTCCTTAAGGATTGCAAAAATCAAAATCTGGTGACGCAAATGAATCAAAAATAGGGACTAGCGCATTAAGCGATTAAAGAAAGACCATGAGCAGAAAACATCCTCAAGTACAAGTTCCTTTGATTTTCGGTTTGTTCAAGTAAAACCAAATATCTACTATCTGGGTCACTTGTCTTTTCGCATCGCTTCACTGGGTTTGGTTTGCTGACAACCCTTTTTTGCCAAGCAGTTTACTGTATACAAAATTGTTCACAGACGTTTTGCTAGGCAAAGATAATGGTCCAGCGTAAAAAGGTTCTCGTTTTTATGACTTTTGAATTAGCTTTACAACTAACTTTTACGTAAATTAGAGCAGTTGCGGTGTAAGTGCGCCCTAACTGAGTCATTTCATTAGAGGAAATTTTGCCTTATCAGTCTTGTTTTACCCTAATTACAGCGGATACGGTAGAAACGCGTCCTTTAAATTCTGCACTTGTTCGGCTAGACTTTACCTTGATGACGTAAGAGATAGGGCATATTTGTAGTAAGCCCTCCGTACTTCCTACAGACACTTGAATACGTCCGTTCGGTTACGATATGGAAAAGTTCCACTGGCGACAAATAAGTGATATTTGGTGTAGTTCTTCCCAAGGGTTATTTCAGTTCTTAAAGGAATTTTTGCTTCTTTTTTTCAGTCATTTTACTCCAGCTATTTTATAAAAGGTTTAACCCACCCCCTCTCCTGAATGCTTAATTCTTCCTGGATTCATCTCGACTACACTCCCTTGAGTCGGCGCGAAAACAGGTAGAAAAGGGCATTAGTCTTTCAGATAAATGCCTCTGCAGCTATTATCATTTTCTGTTTTGCTGTGCGTGTGTGTGATGGAATGCTTCCTGTCACCTGACTCATCTCTCAGAGAGGCCAGTCCGAACCCAAAAAGCCACGAGTTCAACAACACACAACACTTTGCATCGTCAAAGTGCGTTCGCGAAATCACAGAAAATCGAAGTACTTGCACGCAGTTTTGCACGACTTTGGAGAGTTTGCGGCTCTTGGCTGAGTGATTATGATGAAATGAGACGATGACGATGATGTCAATGCTTGTCGATGTGTCATACTGGTCTCACTGATATTTCTGACTCCTTCCCTCCATCTGGGGAGACCACGTCAGTGCTCAAAATGATGCTAGAGAGACGGAGAACTCCGTCGATGTTGTTGCCGCTTTCGCCTCGAAGAAATGAATCACCTTAGATGAGAAATTTTGCACTTCCTTACACATTCATGGTCATATATGATGTGAGAATTCAGAGAGATCTTGTAATTCCATCGATTTTATGGCTGTACTAGGCGCTAGAAAATTTCTGCAATAGTTTGATGGAATATAATAGGATAACAGCTAAGAATTCATGGTCAAGCTGTAGGCCTCAGGGAGGGGAAGGTGCTGTGGAAATTCCTTCCCTTGGATCCCGTTTTCTAGATGGGCGGAACACATTCTGGAAATCATTTTGGACATTTTTAAGTATTTATCAGCTATTTCCCTCAAAATCTCCTTGATTTTTGCATCAGTACTTTTTGGTGGAGTTTGGGATTCAAGTTGCGCAAGCTTTCATAATGCTGAGTAACACCCTCATCAAAAATCCTCGCCTCTCAATTTTTTTCGAATAAATTCTGTGCTAGACCGATTTGAACTTTGTAAAAGCGGCTGGTCGGAAAGCGAATAATATTAAACCTGATTTTGTGATACAAGTGATTTCTGATGTTTAGTTTTGGAAAGGGGGGGGGGTAGTCGTGTCTTAAAATACCAAACGACAATTATGCAAAAATTAGCGGCACTAAAAAGCCCAGCGTCTGAGAACTTAACGCTTCAAAAATTAAAGCTCAGAATTGGAATCAGGAAATCAAAGACGAAATCATAATCACTTTGATTTCCATGTTTATTGATGTACAATTTAGGATATTCGATTCTTGCATGGGGAAATGCATAAATATTATTGTTAAGACATCAACGCTGGACAAAAATTCAGGCTTTTTACGACACCTATAAAGCGATTATTTACGGAAATAGCTAATTTTTAAGCCGTGCAAATGATAAAGCGACAGTTTCTTTTTCCATTCAAGGAAATGAGATTTCATCTTTGTTCCCTGCCCGATCGAAACAGTGTTACTCATCAGATTGAGCCAATCACCTGTTCGTAGAGCAAAGTTGCTATGTGCCCCGGCCGTTCCGTTTCTAATATCCCCCTCTCCGCCCCTCGTCTAGCGCTCCAACGGCCGCATGCCCACAGCGTTTTCTCTCGCTACCCGAATGTCACATGAACCATCACACTTGTTTACAGCGAGAAAATTCCACGTTTTTCTATGTTTGCGCCCTTCAGAGTTCTCCACACTATCTCCGAACGCGAGCGCGCGCGCGCGGCTAATCTACGCGCTGGCACGTGCGAGTGCACATATTTGGGGACTGGACGCAATGGGGTAAAAGTGTAGCAGGCCACGAGTTCAGTCATATATCTGTCGGTCGGTCGGTGTTACGACAACACCGTTCGGCCGTTATCTAGCAATGGACTTTGGAAGCATTTAAGACGCATTCCGCGATCAACTAACCAAGCCGATGATTCACAACTCGTCTTTTAATCGATACGAAACGACTGTAGTGTGTGTTGTATGTTTGATCGGATCGCCTTCGTTTCGCTGATGATCCGGCTTGAAGGCATTTGCCTGCTTTTTGCATTTATCTCCAGTCTTCTAGCTGTTCTGGACTTCGCCGAACTAATCCACATGACCTAGAATAGCTCGACGTGATCCACTTCATCTTCCTGACCTTTTCTTCCTCCTCACTAAATTCCCATAACTCACCGAATCTTCCCCGCACTAAACACCAAAATAACTTGCATCGTGAACAGTAGTTGAATGTGGTCAGTCGATCCTAAGATACTGGCTTATGCCTTGTATACCTGTCTGCGTTATGGAATATTAGCTCTAATTTCCCTTTTGGTATCCGAGAGAAAAGAAACTCTTCCCTTTGAATGAGCGTTCTGGAACTCTGCCAAAGCTTTTTTCCATCCAAGCGCCTAGCGACACACACAGACACTCATCAGAGAGCGCATAGCTCATGCTCTGCACCACACTCACTCTCTTCTACTTCCTGCTGTGTGTGGGGCTTGGCGGGGGATGGATTACGGTAGGGCGTTGCACTTCCACGTGATCGTCGTCGTCGCCGAGCAAAAAGCGCTTAGAGAATATGTATCACATTGGTCTTTTGGTCGATTCTCCTCGTCAGGTGCTGTGTTTATCACTTTGGGAGCGATAATATCAGTTCTAAGGATAATCTTGCTTCTCCTTCTACTTACTCCTTTGATTCCCTTCCTATGTCACATTGCTGATGACACACCCAACCTCCTGGTCTTTTGTCCTTGTGTGTTTGAAATTCGCGTTCTCATTTCCGTGTGTATGGTGTGTATTCCTGTGCTGCTCGCTGGAGATTTTGCAAAAACGAGTCGCAACGATTACGACGCGAAGTGTGTGCGCCGCGCTGACTAAAGTTCAAAATAAGTGCAACGAGATGAGAATGCGCGTTCGTCCGTCAAACGACGTTCGCGGCTACGGTGGTGGAGAACGTACACACACATACATACATACTCACTTGCAGATGGTCGCGCCACGAATATGAATTGATTTTTGTGTGGTGTTTGCGAGCGATGAAGTGCATGCAAAGCAGCAGCAACACAGCGCCAGCAGTCAGTCAGCCCCCCTACCACGTACATGTAGGCAAAAGAAAGTTCAGTGATCGAATCGGAACGACGCGCTGCGGCGGTGACGCGCATTTGCGGCGCTCTGGCGACGTCGTGGTGCAACAAAAAGTGGGCGTTGCGCGGATAATCAACAGTGACGAGAGAGTGTCGCGACGGCGAAGCGCGAAGTCGTTGGAAGAGTGCAACCCGGTTTTTCGATTTGCAAACGCGCCCGGACAACGCACGTCCGCGTCCTGCAGATGGTGTGCGCGCGAGCGACGATTTTGCACGAAATGTACGGTATCACTGAGAGGGATCATATCCGTACGCGCAATCGCTTTGTGTCGGGCGGTCGCGCAGAATTGGGACGGTGGTTGGACTAGGGCCCGCTGCGATCTCTTGAACTGTGCGTCTCTTGTTGGACGATACCGTACCCGCGCGATTATCGCTTTGATCTTTGATCTCTGCGTCTGCTCTACCGTACCATTCAAGCCAATCACAATGCGACAATGGGCTTGCAATCTCTTTCTTGCATAATTCTACGATGTTTGATCTTTGTAGCTGTAAAGTGCCACAGACAATCGTTTCTGGCTTGCTTGGTGTAATCTATAAATTGTCTACCCCCTTTTTTGTCTTGTATACGATCCAAAACGAGTATTCCCTAAGACCCCCATCCAACCATCCACAAATTATCGCCAAAATCGCATTACAGCCGCGCTTTTGTAGTTTTTTCAAACCGTTCATCAATCAAATCTATGTGAGCTTTGCGCTGTTCAGAACTTGCCTTTGATCTTTACTACAACACAGACTGAGAGTTCTTTTCCCCACTTCTCCAGTCTTATCATTTGTCAACTGCATGTTCGTTCCAACATGACTCTGATAAGTCCCTTCTTTACCTACGGTCCCGAGTTTCTGCAATCAGAGAACAATAATCTTTCGTTATTGTGTTTGTGAACATATTAGATGATTTTCGAATCGTTGCGACCTTAATCTCCTTTTTATTGAAATGAAGCAAACATTCAATTACGGCAATTGCGCATATGATTTGTGTAAAATATTAAATAATGACACTGCAAAAATCACATGAGCAGACATCAGAAGTGCACATCAGGGATTTTACGCTATTGTTATAGGACTTATCGGCGAAATTGCACGGATAAAAGTATCATTGTGATCGATTCAGCACTGCTGTATAGATTTTGTACTACCATATTCAGAGCAGGCTTTTCAGTTTTCATCAACTTTTGAAAGTTTTTTTTGCAAGCTCCAAACTGCTATTAGTCAGAATGACTGGGTAGAAAGTAATAACATAGTCCGAGCACTACATCACTCTTCACCTCGTTTTTTTTTCCAACCATCTACGCGTGTCTTCGTCTAATTCGTCTTCGACTGCAAAATGTATAATGACTAGTTTCGTGGCGTCCATATATGTATGTACGTATGATCATTCGACGAAAAAAAAGCACGACATCTGATTCAGATGTTCGCGTATGCTCAGAAAGCCTTTGTTTTCGTTTTCATCACTTCCATCATAGACAAAGGCAATGCTATTTTCAGATGACGTGATGCGTATGTTGCGCGCTTAATGCAAGTCTATTTTTACTCGGTGATTCTACCTATGGTAAGATGTAATGGGGTCCATTAATCTTGGGAAGGAGGGAAAAGCTGGATTGCGTGACGTAGGAGGGGGGGGGAATGAATCTTGGTTCCTGCGTTGGCGATTTTGAACGGTTCCACATAATGAATCCTGCATACCTTTTATGCATCTGTACGTGACTTCGAAAACGGTCAATTACATGGCGATGCTTCGCATGTCTCCTGCTTTTGCATTCTTCACTACCGTCATCACCACCATCACCACCATCCACACCATTCCACACCATTCCACACCATTTCCCACCATTTCTTACCATCCCTCACCATCCCTCACCATTCCCCACCATTCCCTACCGTCAATACCATCTCCACCATCCACACCGTCCCTACCATCCCTATCATCCACACCATTCACACCATCCACACCATCCACACCATCCACACCATCCACACCATCCACACCATCCACACCATCCACACCATCTACACCATCCCTACCTCCCTACCATCCCAGCATCACCACTAGCAATGCATCTTCACGTTTCCTATAGGTGTCCAGTGTATAGTGCTAATGTATGACAACGTCTGCAGGAGTGCGCCCGTTGGAAGACGGTAGAGCGCACCGCCGCTGCTGCTGCTGCTGCTCTTTCTGCCCGTGCACACACACGCACAGGGCAACGTCATCGCCCACGCCCCTCTCATCTGTTTTTGGGTTCATCGCGACTTGTTTATAGTACAAGCGCGGCGTCGAGTGCAGAGCGTACAGCCGCGGCGACGGCTCCGCCTCTTCGGAACCGAACGCTTCCGAGCTGCTGGCGGCGGCCCGTGTGTCGTTCAGCAAGAGGACGACAAAACGCTGCTAGAAGTGCTCTCCACTGCTGGCTGCTGCTGTGTCTGGGGTACAAGCTTCTTTGGTCTTCTGCGCTCAACTTGTCCTAGCGCAAGTAACTTCTGCTTTTGACTTTTGGCTCTGCGGAACTTTTTTTTCTGCCTAATGGCCAGCCCCAAAAGAAGTTGCCATTCCCGCTTATCCTGCAATAGCGCCTCCTTCCTAATCCTATGGTTCCATTTATAGTCTGCCAGCATAGTCTCACATAATCTGAAAGGCAATTTGGCCTGACAATTTAGTTTTCGAACTCTGCACTCCTACCATTGCCTTATCTTGCGATTGTTAGATCCTATGATGCAACACTTCACCTTCGTTGTGCCTTACGTAACAGTTTTTTGTTTCAGAAGGATCCCGACGGTCTTCGTTTTCATCGTGCGCAGACTCACCAGGCACCTCTTCGGCAAGTATGGACGGTGAACCAGCAAGAAAACAAGTGAGTAAAGTTCAAGGTTTTATGTTGAAGTTTTTTTTCAAAAACGCAGTACTGTTGAAGTGCGAATGCTGAACCCTTGTGATTGTGTAAGTACAGATCAACCCCGCATTCGAAAAACTCTAGTGCGCGTGATCTAATGTAAAGTCCTGAGCCGATGTACATATACACAAAACATTTTTATCAGGCATAAAAATTGTCCTCTCTTTTCTCTCAAACATTACAGCGATGCGATTATCTATTATTACTAAAAGTAAGAAAAAATGAACTAGTGATCTCAATCGTTCCTCAATTCGCACCACATCAATCACGCTAGAATTGCATACACCACATACGTCAATCGGTGGTGATGTGACGGAATCGTGTGCGTACTTATTATGCCATAGCTGGGATTTGTTAAATATATTGCATGGGTTGGATGAGGTGCAAGAAGCTTAGAAATGCCCAAAATGCTAAATGCTAGTTTGGAAATTTCTGGTCGGAGCAAAATAAAAGAAAATGTGGACCTGGAGAGGGCGAATTTGTAGTTTGATTCTTGTTCTCTGTTTTCTCTTAGTACTTCTTGCACTAGAACAAACTTAAAGTCCGACGAAAAATGAATTTTGTGCACATAAGCAATGAATTCCCGTTTGAAATGTGGTTTGGACCTAGTGGACCTTGTTTTTATGCGAGTCAGTCGCACCATATGGTCCAAGTAGTCTAGCGTCATTACTGGCCTCTTGAACGCGGAAGTGGTCGAGGTTTTTGTCCTACTTGGGAAAATCGAAGCATTCGGTTGTTTTGTGATCGGAATCTATTCGTCGTTCGAATAAGACTGCATTTTTTCTTCAAGATTTTTTTTCGGAATATTCTTTGTGGTCTTGTTGACTAGGTTATGAAGCGCCCAGACAGACTATTTTTGTGTTAATTTGCAGAAAGATTGCTCTGCGTCGGGCTCCTCCCCCTTCTATAAAATGTCAAATTTGATAAATGGTTTTGAAAGCAGTCACCGATGCAATGAGACGAGCGTTATGCGTTTGCACTATAGCAGTTCAAAAGTCATTGTCTGTTTCTGTCGCTTGCGCCATGTGCAATTACCGTATTGTGCAAAATGCACAAAAGCGTGCAAAGCGCGTTTATACTTTTGCACGCACTGAACCACACACTATGTCATAAACGTTATAGTTACCGGCTTATACGAATTGTTCTCAACAATAGTGCGCATATATTCGTAAAGCAGAAACGCACGATTGCGTTGCACTTGCTTGCTCGCTCTCGTTCAGCTCCCCTCCCCCCCCCTCTCCATCCCACACATAACACACAAAGTGCACACGGTGGAGTTTTTTTTTCTTCTCGTCTCCGAGCGCAGCCCAAAGTGCAGCGATTTTTTCTAGCACAGAGCGAACCATTCAATCGTCGTCGCCGTCGTCGTCGTCGTTGTTGTCATCGTCATGCCTGGCCTAAAAGCGCCTCCTCAAGCGCACACACTATGGCTCGCTGGAAATGTGGCCATAAATTCTGACGCGGAAGCGCGGCGGTGTATCCTTATATAGACCTGTTCGCAATAGAGAAGAAAAAAACTCGGGTAGAAGGAATTTAACGTAAGAGGTTTGAGGCAGTTCCGACGAGGAAAGATTCTATGATTTATGATGTGGGTTGTGCTGGTTTATGATTTCTTGAAATGAGGACTGGAAGACAGAGCTTAGGTACTGCGCATTAAGTCAGCCCTTTCTTGGAGTCTAAGCAAAAAAAGTAGTCTAGCCAGGTTCACTACACCTTCAGCGCGTAATCCACCCGAAAGACTCATCCTCCTCAGCCGTTTTTCCCCTTTCACCCGTTCTCTCTACCTCCAGCGTGGCATTGTGCTCGGACAATGTACGCATGCTGAACGACAAGGTTTCGTTCCAGCAAGTGCTGCACATACACACACACGCAAACACGATGTTTATAGTGCAGATGCCTGAAGAATTGACGACGATGCGAAGAAAAGAGGAAGAGAAAAAGATACGAAGCGCGGCGGCGGTGCTGCCGGCCGCTGCCGCCGCCGCGGCGGCACCGTCACCGTCCCACCGTCGCCGCTGAGGAGATCGCGTGCTTTCCGGGGTTTTTGTACGTGTTCGCTTCTCTCGTGCCTCCGCGGCTGCACTTTCTGTGTGAGTGTATGTTCGCTAGAGGACGCGTGATCAAAAATCTTTCCGCCTGCAAAAGATCAGGAACGCAAAACGCTAGAAAGTAGCGCGTCGCCTCTTCCTTGTCTAGGTAAAGGGGGCGGCAAAGGGGTGATATGGATTGGTGATTGCAGCTCCCATGACATAAATTAAGGGACGCAGCCAGTAATAGAAAGGATGAAAACAAGACCATAAGCCATGTCATCAATCCAATATTCTTGTTTACCTCGAAAATTTTCTTCCGGCACGGCACGCAGCGAAAATTTCATGAAAACATCACATTCTCACGTCGTCCGCAGCCACATTTGCATAAACAACACGTGGGCGCGCCTATGGTGTTTCTGAATGTATGTGTATGTGTACATCTTAGGATTGTACTTTCACAGAGAAATAATTCTGCCAGAGCGAGAATAATTGCGGATGCATTTCAGAGTTCTTCATCGCGTACCGGTCTCGAGGGACGTAGTATGTCACTCGGTGCAATGACCGTAATGTCGTACGATATCTGGAAAGCGAAATGTGCAGCCGAGAAAAAACGTCTTGAAGCTGAGGGCAAAGGCGTGGGAGATTTGAAACTAGACGAAGATCAGCCTAATGCTTCACCACCGGCTCGTAAACGTGCCCACACATTTGTCGCTAGAGTGAGTTCTTTGAATCTTTTTTGTTACAAAATAAAAAATGACTAGGCTGCCATAAAAGTGTAAAAAAACCATGGGATGTCTCACACCACTGGAAAAAAATTTTTGCTAAACATCCTGTAGAGTCATGAATCATACCGTAACAATTAACATCTGCAAGTGCGACCGCGCCGCAGCGGGGTGCGACGCGTTAGGCAGCGGTTCGCAGTGGCTGTTTTGCCTAAAAAACGCTCTAAGCATTCAATTTGCCTTTCATGTCTTAGCGCACCTTATCAGAAACTAGGCATGATTGCTAAGGAGTATTCCGAACGGTGTTTAAGCAAACAACCTCCCTCTTTCTCATGGAAGAAAGTCGCTACCGTTCTTATCAGTCAGTTATGCACCGTAGTACAAAATTCCTTGTTGTCAGAACTTCTTCGCTGTTTACCACTGTTCGCTGTAAGGTCACGCGCTCGTTCCGAACATTGCCAGAGTACAGAAATACACACCAGATGACAATCAGAATGCGCTGGCCGGCGCTCTGCGTTTTTTCTACCCACCTCGAGTTCAAGCGTTCAGATGGTGTCATCTCGGTTCCGATAATCGTTTGCACTCTCCTGCACCTTCGCTCACTCATCCACACAGCCACACAATCGCCGGCTTCGTTGGAGCGCCTTTTTTCTTGCCTTGATGTGACCTGCGCGTGTTGTGCGTATGCGGGGATAGAGCGCGCATTTCGACGATAGAGAGTGTAAGGAGAAGCGTTTTGAATTGCTGCGTGTGTGAGTGTGTATGTGTATAGGAGATGTGATGTGTGCGTGCACTTTTTTTTCTGCTGGACTATTTGCGTGCGGCGCGCACTTTTCTCCTCGCCGCTCGCTCGTCGACGGCCAACGGCCCGCTCGGCGCTCGTCAACATGTTTTCGTGGACTCGCTGAACTTGCGCCGCGACGTCGCCGCCGCGACGCTTTTTGCAGCCTGCGCTCGGCGGAACACATGCCTTGCACGTCGCGAAGTCCTCGTGGACTTTGATGCAACTGCTGCTGCGGCTGTGTCGGGGACGGAACGAATGCGTTCAACATACGGGGGAAGATAAATTAATGGATAAAATAATCTTTGAACTGCTAGAAATAATTGGGAAACAGAAAAGCGAGTCGTCTACAGTCGAGTAAATCTGGTTGCTAGTGAGTGTAATTGCACATCTAGTCGTTGAGTCACACATGATGCAACTTATTTTTGGAATGTTCGTGAAAAAAACCGTAACACATCGTAGTTGACTTACACGGTAGTCCGGCGAGCGCCAGATTGTTGATCTGACCAATATCGAATCTGGCGAAGGTATTGGTCAAATTACCTATCTGACCAATAGTGAGTTGCTTTGGATGATGCGGCGCCAAGCGGATAAGTCTGGCGCCTGCCTTACGGTCAATCTTTTCAACTACTTCCGCAAATTGTGTGCACTTGCACACGCTGATACTATTTAATCATAGCAGGGTACAGACTTTGGACATAAAATGATTCAACAATTTTTCAGAATGAACCCAAAGAAATCCCCAAAGTATTGCCACCGAATGCAAAAGAAAAGAAAGGTCGCTACATCCTGCTTCCCACGATCCCGGCTATGAAAGTCTTTGTTGGCGAGGTTTGCAACATACTTTATCTCGTTGTGAACCATAGCTCAGCTTAGTTTTCTTTCAGGACGCCCCAGCCATCGTCCCCACGGAACCATCGAACATCCCCCAGGAGACGTCCATTGCCACCACTACGGCACCAACTAATGTTCCGGCGCTGAGTGTGGCACCAACCCTCCCACTTCAAGACACTCTTCCTCGCCCAAGTCCTATAGCTGTGACGGCACAGAATTTCTTCAATCCTCTTTCCAATGTGGCTGCTCAAGTGCCACCAGCAGTCGCCGCAGCCACCGCAGCCACCACGACCGCGCCAGCGTTCGGCACTGGTCTGACAGCCGACCAGCTTCTTGCCAGTCTTCTACCTTCAAGTATGTTGCTACAGAACGCTGGCCTTCTCCAGCAGAATGCTCTCGCTGGGCTACTTGGCCTGGCTACAGCACCAGCTCTGGCTCCACAGCCGGCAACTTCTTGCGCCAACGATGTGCTGGCGCTTTTGCGAGCACAACAGTCAGCGCAACTCGCGGCCGCCTTGGCCGCGCCGGCGGCGAAGAATCCTCTTCTGCCCAGCGGCACTCCAGACGACCTTATCCAGTCGTTGCTTGCGCAAACCAGGCAACCCATATTTTCACACAGTCTGTGAGCTTCTGTTCAAAGAAATTGTCTCTTTAAGTGTCTAGAACATCATCTTCTCGTTCCTTTCACATTGTTCTGACCCTCGCTATGATTCCCGGTTCGTCCAGTACAGTAATGCTGCAGTCATTGAACATTTTTACCCATACAGTAATTTCACAATGCATTACTGTAATGGACATGTTCCTTACGTTTCGTATAAATTTATATAATGTATGCGTTCATTTTGATACGGGTATGTATGATGCTAGAGAAGCTAGTTGTGTAAATTTCCGTACTATTATGACATTAGTTCTAAATAGACAGTACCTAATAAGGCTACAACTCTGTAAACAGAGCTTTTCTGCATGTGTGTATAATATTTTACCTGTATTATGTGTTTTTTCCTTTTTTTCTCATTTTTTCATTGTTTTAATGTGAATTCCAATCATTCTTTCATAACTGTTAATGCGAAGTCAGGTTTTCTATTCTTTTCTCAATCGCTTTTTTTGTTTTGATTATAGCGAGCTATCATTTCTCGCCTAATAAACAAGAACCAAATCCTGAGCAGCTTCGACAACTTACTTGTAAACAGTTTTGAAAATAGAAACATTTGTGTTTTTGTTGTAGTTCTAGCCAGTTTTTTCGTTACTTGCATAGCCCTTTAGGCACAAGCATACGATCTATACATGCAATTTTCGTTCATGTCAAGGTGTTTCTCCAGCGCTCGTGTAAATGTTTTCGCTGATTCGCTATTGTTTCCTTTTTTCAATTGTGGGACCTGTTGTTCTTCATTCTGTAGATTTGTTGTGAAAAATAAATTATATAATTGTATAATGTTCTGTTGTGGTGTTGGCCTTATCTGATAAAAATGAAAATCAATTCAGTGCATCAGCGACAACGTAGAAAATCACATTGCAGTGAATTTTATAATGAAAATGTGATATAAAGTTCAGTTGTTTATGTGCCTATGGGGTAAGTAAAGAAAATTTCTTACTTGGTGGTAATGAATAAGGTGGTTCTACGTGTTTCCATTGGTTTACCTATATCAAAGAAAAATTGTGCATCAGAGATCTATCTGGAGCAAAAAGTGGTTTTACAGCAAAATAATTGAATCTTAAAAACCAGGAAATATCGCCTCATTACGATGAATCGTAAATTTCATTCAGATTTTGCCTTTTTGTGTCATACATGTGAGCTGCCAACTTCCTCATTGGACAATTCGACTAAGTTGTTTTGAAAGTTCTAAAAGTTTGATAGCATAAGGTTATAAGTTCGTTTTTTATTTGCTTGCTTTAGCTTTAATTGGCATCTCAACCAGGCTCAATCCAACAAAGGGTAAGGAACTGTTCGATAGAGCAAAGCAAGCTCTACAAGACCGCAGACCGCTTTCATGAATTTGGCAAGTATGGTCCACGGAAGTTTGTACTGAAAATCTGAAGGTTTCCGAAAACCCAGAAGGTACAAAAAGTCGGATTTCCGTCCAAATAATTTTTACGGACCTCCCACAGCACACTTCACTACTTTCGATATTAGACATCCAAACGTGCAATTGCTGTACATTTCCCTTGACTAGAAATTGAGAAAACTAAAATTTTCGCGATATTCTTCGAGCATTGCTGAGCCTTTCTTGCATATGTATTCCTATGCTACAAGCTTAGATAAGTATAACTGTAAATTTTCCATTACAAGCCGTAGTTTTCGAGAAATTCCGAACTCAGCTTTTTTCTTTTCAGTTTCAGTGCAAAAATCAACATTTCTCGAAAACTACCGCTCGGAATAGGCAGAAAATTCACAGTCACACCTATCTAGGCTTGTAGTATGGAATTACATATGTGAGAACGGCTCAGCAATTCTTTGAGAATATCATATAAATCTAGTAAAGGGAAAAGTACAAAAACTGTACATTCAAATGTTTGATATTGAAAGTATTTACGTGTGCAAGTGGAACGTCCGTAGAAATCATTTGGACGGAGAACCATTTTTTTTGTATCTTTTGGGCATTTAGATACTCTTAGATGAGTTCAAACTTCGCGTAAATATCAAACTTGGCGCAAATTTTGAAAACCATCTAGAGCTTGCTTTGCTCTATCGAACAGTACTTGACCAGTGTAGAGTTGAGCATGGTTGCTTTATGAAGCAAACAAAGTAAAAAACGACATTATTTTCTTAACAATCTAATAGTTTTGCTTTTTCTAGAGAAATGTCGATTTGGAAGCAGAAACCAAATAGGCTTGCAACTGAGCCTGTATGTATGAAGAAGGATGTATTTGCAAGAAGAAGCATATATTTATTCGAAGCAAGAAGCATGTATTTATTCGTTATTTAGAAGCTTGATTTCCATCTCGACAAAAGTAATTGCTGAGTGGTTTGGTGCAAAATAACCTGCAAAAATTCCTTGGATCTGTCCCAAAACAATCCAGATTGCAATCTATTATACAAGCTGCAAGTCTGAGCATTGAACAATTAGCATTTCCATTTGAGAAAACAAAATACAATTGTCAATATACGTTAACCTCATGACACTACAGCAGCTGTGTTGATGTTTTTTTTTCATAAATCGTTTGCAACGCGACCTTGGGATCAATTTAAAAAAATGCTATGGATTTTCATGTGTACAGAACGGCAATATCAAAATGAAAATGTACAAAATTTTCTTGCGGGTATCGACTCTAGGAAATCGCGTGGCTGAAGGGAATTTAGAAAAATTGGAGTTAGTGTACTGGTTCATAACTCTGCGTACTGCGGCCAAGAACAGACAAACTTTCCATGAACTGATGTTGGGCGGAACTTTGTTTGAAAACTCCAGTGAGCGTTGTTAATTTTTCGAGATAGATTTATCGGAACGGTAAAATAAAAGCCAAGCTGTACAGAGTCCTTTCGAGCTGATGCATTTTTGGGTTGGATTTCGGTATACTAAAATAACATTTGTAATTATCTTCTACATCAGTAAGAAATCGCTGCAGTCGCTTTCGTTGTCATAACGGAGCCTTTCTTATATTGAAAGTTGCTTGTGTAAATATTGCCACTACTGACTACTACTGACTACTAATACTGTAATTCTGAGTTCTACGGAAGTCTTTTTCAATGCTTTGAATGATCACGGTCTCAAATTCTTTTGTTAGAACTTACTACTATTTTAGGTACTGATCTCATTTTTGAAAGTAGAGTTTGAGGATCAATTTGCTTTGATACTCTCCAAGAAGTATAGAGTTTTTACGCAAGTATTCGCTTATAAAGAAGAGTTTTGTTAGGTGTTTACCAGGCAGCGAACTTGTACGCAGTTTTTAACTTTTTCCGAAAACGGTTTACTCGGTGGCGAGAGAGAGCTCGGGAGATGAGGGGGGGGGAGAGAAGGCCCTTGCTTTGCTAAACGACGCCATCAGATCAAAGAAAATGAGGAGACATGGGTGTGGGTCTTTTTTCTTTCTCAATATAATACAGCTCAATGAAGGAACTTATCTCTGGCACACTTAATCAAGGACAGCCGTGAAAGGACCAGTAGGTCCACGGAGGAAAGTGCTTAAGCATTAATTTCTCTACCCGATCGCAATACGTCACATGATTCGTTGCAAACTTCGAACAGTTCATATGAGTTACGAAATTTTGAAAATAACATGCCTCTATATATATCAATCTATCTATCTATCATATTCGGTCGTACTCAACGGTCCACTAGTAAAATTTGTTGAATTACATAAGGCTTTGTTGGTAGTGGAGCTGATACATTATACTTTGGACCGAACTGAATGGTTATTCGGTCATTCGAACAAATCATTCGGATGCGAATGATTCGAAGATTGAATATTCGAAAATCTGAGATAATAATATTTGGTAGTCGAATTACCCACGATGGTTCGCCGCCTCAAAGTGGCGTGGGGGTGGCCCTGGGTGTCAGCTACCTGCAGCCAGAGTTTAACCTCTGGCTCCCGGACGCCCAGCAAAGAGCGAACCGGGTCAGCTTCCGCCGTCTGACTAATAGGTCGTTAGGCGGGTCCCCACTCCACATAATGATGGTCAGCGATCGCCTGAATATGGTAGGCCTGAGCAGGCCTGGTAAGCCGACTCAGTGCCGGGGAAAATATTTAAAACTCGAGCAGCAAGTAAAGGAATAAAGCCCTGTCATCAGACCCGACTAAGGCGCCGGAAGGAAACAAGGCTGGTGGCAGGTTGCTCAGGGCGCCATTTGGATTGGACAAAAACGGCACACCTGCGACGACCCGCCATGGAGACTGCTTCATGCTCTGCACTTACAACGCCAGAACAGTCTCCACAGACGCCGACCTTCACGCTCTTCTCCACGCCGCAGGGCACATCAAGTACCACGTCATCGCCCTGCAGGAAACGAAGTCCAGGAAGCAAGACGTGCGACAGTTGAGCGATGGGACCCTCGTCATTCGTGGTGAGAAAGTTCCGTCGCGGAACGTGGGAGGCGTCGGCTTTGTCGTCCACCCAACGATCGTCCATCTCGTCGATTCGCATGAGATCCTGTCTCCCCGACTGGCCATCCTTCGTCTCCACCCTCCACACCAGAAGACCATCAGCATCATCAACTGCTATTCTCCAACATCAGCAGCTGATGATTCGGAATTGGATGCTTTTTACGAGCATGTAGAGGAGGTCGTCCGCAACGAGAAGTCCTTCTACAAGTTTGTTGTGGGCGACTTTAACGCGAAAATCGGGATGAAACTAGAAGAGGAGTATAGGATCGGGAAATTTGGATTTGGGCTCCGGAATGATAACGGCAACCGTCTTATTGGGATCCTATCCGCCGCACGCCTGTTTCATGGAAACTCACTTTTCATGAAGAAAGAACAACGACGATGGACATGGGAGTCACCCAATGGAACGACACATGCGGAGATTGACCACATACTCACCAACCGAAGATGGTGCCTACTTGACGTATCGGTAGTGCCATCTTTCTGCAGTGGTTCTGATCACCGCCTCCTACGAGCGAAGGTACAATTCAGTCGAAAGCTGGAAAGGAAGATTTGCCATCGCAGCCCACGAAGGAAGGATGTCGTTTACGACGGTCAAAGGTTAGAGGAGCTCTTATCATGTTGTGAGTGGCCCATCGAGGAAGACCCAACGAAGGACTACGAGCTGCTTCTCAAAGGATTGGAAGCCTGTGGGTATTGCGCCTCAACAACTCGTGCAAGGAACTTGGATCGCATCCCAAGCACTACCAAGGAATTGCTCGATAGAAGAAGATCCTTGAGGCTGGATCCGAATGCATCTCACCTCGAGCGGTTGGTGGCAAATACCAGCAGCAGAACGGCATTGCAGGAGGATCTACGAAAGTACAGGCAAAGGAGGATTTTCGAAGCCGCTGAACAAAGACGAAGTCTGAAGAAATGCCGAAGGGACCTTTGCGACTACCACATACCACTGAGAGCGTTATTAAACGAAAATGGGATACCAACAACTTCCCGCCGAGAAATGGAATCGATCGCGAAGAGTTTCTACACCAACCTCTTCCGCTCATCAACACCCGTGCCAGACCCCGCTGTTCCCACTGGAGACACACCACCACGAATTCTTCCTGCTGAAGTACGCGTCGCGATCCAGACCATGAAGACGTCCACAGCTCCAGGACCAGACCATCTTTCCGTGGACCTGCTAAGAGCTGGAGGACACTGTCTACACGAGACTCTGGCGGCGCACCTGACATCCTATCTCCAGAAGGAAAGGATTCCCGACCAGTGGAGAACGTCAAGAACCGTTCTTCTCTTCAAGAAGGGCGAACGGGAAGATCCTCGAAACTATCGTCCGATATGCCTGTTGAGCGTGCTGTATAAGCTTTTCACCAAGATCATTCTCACTCGCATCTCAAGGACACTGGATGAAGCCCAACCTCCGGA